GAGATCCTTTTTCCTCTCTGTGCCTCAGCTTCTTTGTATTCTTCTTCTCTAGTTTCTATTTCATTTATTGTCTCCTCCACTGTATCCAACCTGCTTTTAATACCCTCCATCGTGTTCTTTAATGATTGGATCTCTGACCTGAATTCATTCCTGAGTTCTTGGATGTCTTTCCGTACCTCCATTAGGATGTTGATTATTTTTATTTTGAACTCCCTTTAAGGAAGAGTCATGAGGTCCATATCATTTAAATCTTTCTCGGGAGTTGTATTAACAATTTTACTCTGGACAAGGTTCCTTCGGATTTTCATGTTTGTAAATGGTGCCCTCTAGTGTCCAGCAGCTCTATTCTGGAGTTGCTGAGCCCCTGGAGCAATGTCGGGGTTCGCAGGGGAGCGGTACTGGTGCCTGGGAGTAGGAAAGAGCTGTTCCCCACCTCCTGGCTGCTGTGCCTGTCTCCACTGCCTGAGCCAGTGGGCCAGTCACACAGGTATAAGTTTTTGTCCCAAAGCAGCCAGATATGGATCCCTGCTTTCTACAAGCAGCCAGAATCCCAGTCTCCCCAGGAACTCTGCCTGTATTAACTTTCCAACCCAGTAGTCATGTGAGTCTCATGAAAGCACCATGAAATGTATGTTTGTGCTCCCAGAGCAGATCTCCGGAGCTAGGTATTCAGCAGTCCCAAGCCTTCCACTCCCTCCCTGCTCCATTTGTCTTCCTCCCGTCGGTGAGCTGGGGTAGGGGAGAGGCTCGGCTGTGATACGTTACCCCGTTCACTGAGGTCTGCTCTTTTCTCCAGGTGTGTGCAGTCTGATGCCGTCCTCTTTCCTGTTGCTCTCTCAGGATTAGTTGTGCCAACTAAATTTTCTAATTGTATCCAGTTTTAGGAGGAAGCCTCTGTCTCTCCTCTCACGGCACCATCTTTGAGCTTGTCTCTATTTTACTTTTTTAATAGGTGACTAGAAAACACAAGCAGTGGCCAAGTATGAAGGGTTCATACAATCTTTTCCTTATGTCTCCTTCTGATCAAGGCACTGCTAGAAGCTGCTACATATATGCTAGACATCACATTGCCCTTGAACTTGGAAATGAAACATAAGTGAAGATTGTACTGTTTCCTTGAAACTATGAATCCACTAGTTCTAAGATGCACCATTATTTTATTAAACACTAAGAAAGAAAAATACTGCCAATTAAACCATAACATGGTTTCTTATTAGAATTTTCATTTTACTTTTACTGAAATAGCTCTTTTTAGACTTATTGAGACATAGAGTTTTATAATATATTGCTCTTGGGCACTTATAAAAAGAAAAAGAAAAGTGAAATAAATTGGCTAAGGCAATGACAACCAGGTCACCCAGCTGAAAGCAACTGTAAACCACCACTGATTCAGAAAATACTTCCCAGTTTAAGAAATGTTAAAATCTGAAAAAATTATGTATGTCAGAGAATAAAATACTATATTATGTCTAGCTTGGAGACAAAATTTTAGAAAGGACAAGGTAGTAGTTCACAGGATAACTACTACAAAGATATTTCATTGATTAAAAATGTACACAGAGGAAAAAAACTGAGATTATTCAATTTAAGAAAGACAAAAGGAGAATATAATGTTCTTTAAGGACATCAAAGTCCCATCCCAAAAAGTGGTGACTTCCAATTTTTTTTTCTTTACTTTTTTAGCAGCAGGCCTTTTTCTAAAATACTGTCCTACAAGAATCCTGAGCGTGGAGCTGTTCTGGTCGGAGGAAGAGCACCACCAGACATGCATGGAAGGTCACAGGGCTCGGGACCCAGTGAAACCCTGACCTGGGGAGTCTGCACCTCCTGACCAGGCTCCGTCTACTCCCACAACAGCTGCAACACAGCAACAAGGGTTTATCCTGGCACTAACCAATTAAACATTTACCGTGTTTTGTAAACCATGAAGCCTTGCTAGATGCTCATTATACAAAGATTACTCAACTATGGATGGGTTTTGGTAACCTACATGAAGGAATTTTTCTATGTGTGGATTTTATACATTGAGGGAGAAGAGGAGAACTTTTTCTCAGCCACAAAAGTAGCTGTATTGACCTTCACAGTTAGACATCCCCCTGCCACAGCAAGGGGGTGAGTCATACCCACCCACCAAGGCCCATTCTAGCTCTAGACTGCTCCCTACATTCTAACACCAGTATCTTTTCAAATGCAAGCCAGATACAGACAGTTTTGTTTGGACAGCTTTGGCTCTACCTCATGCCCAGCCATGTGGCCAAACCTAGCAGTTCGCTGCACCCATCACCCTCCAAAACAATCCAACTCCACAAACAAATCAGGAAGTAATGTGAATCCCACTGAAGGTGGGTAGACACACAGACCACTTGGCAAAGCTTAAAAATCCCCATTAGGCCGTTCTTATCTCCGCCATTTCTTTATCTCCTTTTTCTCTATTTCTTGTCCTAGTACTGCCTCTAAAATCCCCTTTTACTATTAGAAGCAGCCTCTGACCTTGCACTTCCCACTCAGCATGGCAGCTCCGGGTTATCTTGTCACTTGAGCGTGCTTTGGGAATAGTATCCACTCCCACCCATTCCCCTGACCTATTCAAGTAGCCAGCTTTCCTTAAAGGGAAAAGTTGATCTGCACCTGAGAAAAGTACCATTTTCACCACACAGCCATATCAACACACAAACAAATTTATGGATTAGCATGTTGGGATGATAAAAGAAAGCAAATTTTCCATGTGTCAGGTTATCAGCTATTGCTCCACTGATGGCCAAGATAGGTTAGGCCGATCTAGGGCGGGGAGCTGTTCCCTCTTTAGTTCCTTGTGCTGTCAGCTAGCTATGGTGGAAAAGGTTTTAGTAAAGGGGGATAAACCACCCAGGCACCAGAGACCATTTCTTTGACTAAGGGCATTCCATTGCCATAAGCACCAATTCAATTTTCAGCCTAATTCCCAAATCTGTTATTTAGCATAAATAGGGATTTATCAGATGTGAGAAGAGTCAACTCCGCATCCATTTTATTTCCTACACATAGAAATCATTGTTGAAAGGTTTTCTTTAACAGATGGTTCTCAATTAAGTTGCATGCTGTGAATAGAGAAAACCATGTATGAATGCCAAGCGACTCTACATTTTGAAGACAACTTTCTGCCCAGAGGCAAAAAAATTACTAATCTGACCACAAAGTCAGAAGGCTTCATTCATACTGAACATCAGGAAATTCACACTGAAGCACAACGATCCCCCTCTGCCCTTCCTCCACAAGTCAATCTCAAAATATCCTCTCTATACTGGATAACATCCTGTTTAACTCAATAGACATAAAATGCAAAGTATTTGTGAAAGGAGGGTAGGTTATTAAACAGTGCCCCTGTACAATTTCAGGGCCGGACAACAGCTCAGACCAGGAGACTGACGCCCGGGAATGCTAAGTGAGGTGATGATGGATACAATCTTTCTGAATAGAGCTAGGGTTAGAACCCAACCACACAACATGATCAAAACATCAACAATTTTAAATTTCACTTGAATTTCAGATGTATATTTCCTTTCTTACCAGAATTACATCAAAAATGAGTGGGACCAGTTTGCTGTCCTCCACAAGTCTGTTAAAAAAATAAAAAGATAACTGCACATTAGATAACTCATATTTCAAACTGCATATGGACCACTGCAGCCCCATGTTTTATTAAATTCTGTGACTGAGAAATACTATGATTACTCATTTTTATACACTCAACTGTATCTATTAAACACAATATAGGGCCTCTTTGAAAATGACTATTAGCTTAGCCTTACTGATGTGTCGCAAATAAATTCTCAAATAGATTGACATTTATAAGTGTAAAAATGAAAATTCACAATTACTATAAAGACTATCAAAATACATGATACCAGCTGAAGTGATGTAACCAACCTTCACTGTAGTTAAATTATAAGCATGCCACTCTATAATCTTTCATTTTTGCCTCATTAGCTATCTTCTCAGCATAATGAATTAAGGTATAATGCTTTGTAATGATCTTTTACTTTAATAAAAAGTAGACACCAATCACCCAGCAGACTTTAGGCACTTTCCCTCACCAAACCTATTAAAAATTATCATCCATTGTAACACAAGAATTTTTTCATGCAATTTAAGAAAAAATAGCCTTCATTCATAAGAGATGGTTTTTATTAAGAACAATACTTGTCTCTAAATATTCCTTTAGTCCAGGGGTCAGTAAACCTTTTTCTGTAAAGGGCCAGAGAGTACATATTTTAGGCTTTATAGGCCACACAAGCTGTATAGCAACCACTTAGCTCTGTCACTGTAATATAAAAGCAGACATAAATAATACATAAATGAATAGGCATATCTGTGCTTCAATTAAATATTATTTACTTAAAGTCATGTGCCACATTTGGCCCACAAACTATAATTTCCTGATTCCTACATCAGTGTAAAAGAAAATATCAGAATCCCTAATTTTATTAGAATTTACTTTGGCTAATAAACTACAGTGCTTAAAGACAAGCACATTGCTTTATTACTACGGGTATGTGCAGTTTGTCTGCTTCACAGAGAATGCTAGGTAGATGGAACAGGAATTTATCATCCAGCCTCCCTAGAGCTTGTTTGTCTATGAAAATACATAGATAAAACAAAAGCCTAGGAAGCTAGCCAAAGAAAGATCACAGTGCTTACAAATATGCGCTAAGGCCAAGTGGGGGTACAGAGAGAGCTCCCCAAGACTGAAGGACAGAAAGCACCACCTCAGTATCTAACAAAACATCAATGTGGTCATTTCTGTGACTTTAGTGTATTAGGGAGAAAAGGCTTTGACTACAGATATTAAATTCATTTACATCCCCTTACGTTCCAGGGCAACTGGAGACTCCGGTGTGAGGACGGAACTCCTCCACCCACGGAGGGCGGGCCGCAAATGCACGGACTCCGGACCAGGCACAACCCCCCCGCACATTCCCAGTCTTCTTCCTCTGCCTTCTGTTAGCCATCTTTTTTCCTAAATTAAGTCTTTTAAAACATAATTTTTGATATATACTCTTATTAGGCCTGTGCTGAAACAGGCAAGTCCAGTCTCCGAGTCGCCTTGGCGACCAAAGCCAAGACGACCCTGAGGGCGGACACCGCCCCTCTCCGCAGGCGCCTGCACTCACGGGCGCCCGCTGCCGTCGGCCCCAACACTCGGATGCGGATGCACCCACCCACCCACCACCAGCCCTTCGTGATAGTGTTTCAACGTATATTCTTATTATTAAGGTATGACTACATAAAGCACATAATTCTTTTTTAAAAATTACAACTAGCTCTTCTCCAGGTCCCTGCAAGATGAGCAGGCTAAGGTGGAGAAAAACAAATGCCAAATGATTTCCCTCATTTGTGGAGTATAACAATGAAGCAAAACTGAAGGAACAAAATGGCAGCAGACTCAAAGACTTGAAAAATGAACTAGTGGTTACCAAAGGGCAGGGGTGTGGGAGGGCAGGTGGGGAGGGAGGGGGAAGGGGACTGAGGGGTATTATGTTCAGTACACATGGTGTGGGGGATCATGGGAGAACAGTGTATCACAGAGAAGAGACACAGTGGATCTCCGGCAACTTGCTGCACTGATGGACAGTGACTGCATTGGGGTATGGGTGGGGACTTGATAATATGGGTAAATGTAGTAACCACATTGTTTTTTCATGTGAAACCTTCATAAGAGTGTATATAAATCATACCTTAATAAAAAATTTTTAAAAAAAGATGAGCAGGCTAGCCTGGACTCCCTCTTATGTCTCCTTTAACTCTGAATTCTAACACACTAGTTCTTACATTCTTCCAAATACAATAAAACATGACTTTTGTTATTTGAAATGACTGACATAATTTAGAGCCACATCTGATAAATAAAAATGGAACTCAAGCTAAATGAAACAACTTCTAGTTTTTAAAAAACATTTCTATGACTTTTTCTGCAACTCATGACTAAACCTCAAACGTGATGCCAAAGAACTCTACAGCAAACAGAGCACAAGGGCAGCTGTCAACATTTACAGCTACCTGCAGTGTCTTTCTAAACCGTAGCAAGTGGCCAATAAGTGGACAACAAGAATGAGTTTACTAGGTTTGACTAGCATTTTCATAATTAACACTAATGGAGAAAATCCAAGGTGTCACACACACTGTTCTGTGACACTTCTGTTCCCATTAGAGGTCTGTGGTTGTGCAAAGTGGTGATGTTATAATGCATTTTTCTTACTGTGGGCTGTAGCTAACACCTAAGATCCACGGATTTTAGATTGCTTTGGAGACAATATTCATTTGTCTTTGATATGTTCTTAAATTTTGATTTAAAAAAATTGGTTTCCTTACATTATGTCCTCTCATACCACCATAGGTCCAGTTTGTGGTTCAGATCCCAAAAGATCAAACCCTTGATGTGCTCTAAGTAATGGAGCAATGTCCTGGGAGCTCTCTTCCCATGATCTGGGACTCTGGAGAGCAGCTCTGACGCTCAGGCCTCTACAGGCCAGGGAAGATGAAGCTTGCCTCTAAGGGAAGTTGATGTGGCTGCAGTCTCAGGGAATCATTCAGTCAGCAAGTCTGAAATCATCATGGTACACTGGAGAACCATGAAGCAAAAGGCATCTTATTTGGGGCTGTTTTGGTCAGCCACCATGATTTACGTCACCAGGATCATTTTACTACAAGAGCCTTATATATCCTAAATGCTAAAAAGAGTAACGATTCTATAGTTGGTGGACAGGAAGTGAAGAGATTTATCTGGATTTTTTTAAACCAAAAACAAACAAAATAAAGATCTTTTGGAAAATTTCCCTAATCTTCAAAGGATTATGAAAACATTAACTGCATCACAGTAGACCTTCCTTCCTTTACATCAACCATCTAAGCACACTATTTTTAAGTAATTCCAGATGAGTAAATTGAAATATACTGCCCTTTTCAAATGGAGTTCCTAGGACTACTTTACCATGGTTTTCCAGAGGGTTTTCTTGGTTTGGTTTTTCCTTAACAGTGCAATTTAATAATAGATTGTGTGGGGTTAAAGAGTTTTCCTTACAAAATTCTGATTCACAAGATTCACTGGAGGAGGACGCATCAGCCAGCTGCGTAGGGACTCATACATTCTGAAGGTTCCCCAAAGTGAAGGTTCACGGGGACCCAGCACCTCACTGCACGGAGGACCCTGGGGCCAGGTGTGGGCCGACAGACAGATGAGCATTCACTCCTTATAAGCGTTCCTTCAGATGCACTGGATCACTCAGAATAGCAGTTCTCAGACACATTAGACCCAGTGTGTCTTTTAATAATTTGTAACTCTCCCTTTGTTGTCCTCAGATGAAAACTGTAGCTAATATAATCTTCCGACACATAAGATTTTCCCTCCAAAATCCATAATTTCAAAACAATTAAAAATAATGCATTCATTGTGTCATAATCAAGGAACAAAGTGATTTTATAGTAAGATAATAAGTATTTTGATACATGAAAAATTGTGTACACAACTACACTGAAACACGTAATGACTAGATGTCCACACCTTTGTGCAGAATCACCATAAATGCAATATGTGTAAATGCACACAGACTCACATGTATTTTAAGGGCTATTCAAATACTGTGATGGGCATTTCCATTCATAATATGATTTTCCAGAATGGTAAACAGCCCTCAGTAAAGTTCTGAGCGAGCAAAATGTAACACTTTCACTCAATTTTGCATCCCTGAAAAATTCATTTATGTTAAAACTTCAAAAAAAAAGGATAATTACTGGGATTGTGTATATCTGTGGTTTATATTATTAACAAAGGAAGTACTGTCTGATTTAGAAGATTTTGAATAAACTTATGAAAATCTTTAGGATATATTAATCAGCATTTCTAACTCCCTCCTGTGCCTAAAATAAATGTTGCATTTATTGTTGGGAAGCTTATTTACAAATCATTTTATTGTTCAAGGCTAAATATAAAGTAAATCAAGCAATGTATGGATATAAAAGACTAGTTACAACTTAGCTGGGAAATGCAGGAATAGGGAGATTATTCTACTTCTGTTTAGAGTGCTATGAAGTGAGTTGAATTTCAAACAATTATGAACACTTTTTCAACTTTTCTTTAAAACCTAAAAGACTATTTAGAGATGAACCAACAAGAATAAAAAGGAACTGAAACCCCTACTTCCCTGACCATCATACTTCTGTTTTTCGGAGAAAAGAGGAGCCAAGAGGAGGTGCAGGGAGAGGAAGGCAAAGGGTCGCTACCGGTTCTAAGCTCAGTCTTGCAGGACAAAGCAAGCAGTCTCCAGCAGTGGTAAAATAGGTCTAAGGAGAGGACTAAAGGTGGCAGTATGAGAGGAGAGACAGAGGCTTCCTCCTAAAACTGGATACAATTAGAAAATATAGTTGGCACAACTAATCCTGACAGAGCAACAGGAAAGAGGATGGTGCCAGACTGCATACACCTGGAGAAAAGAACAGACCTCATGGAAAGGGGTAACATACCAAAGCTGTGGCTCAGCAGGACTGGAGCCCTTTCCCCACCCCAGCTCACGGGTTGGAGGAAGAGAAACTGGTCAGGGAGGTAGTGGAAGGCTTGGGACTGCT